GACATTTACCTGTAAGTGTGTTTTGCTTGGTTTCAAACTGCCTTCCCAAAGAAAAAAACGTCAAGTTTTGAATCTACCACTGATTTTATTTTATTTGGTGGGGGGGGTTTATTAAGTCATGGTTAAATATGATGAGTTTTCCACCGGTTTATTATCATCGGATCATCGAATCATCTACCCCAAGTCCGATTTTTTATTTAGATTTGTCGGGATTCGGAACCGATGTTCATCGAAAGATGAGGTTGTGTAAAGATCAAATCGAGATGAGTTCACCAATTACTCGCTACAGAGTTCAGAGATGGGTTTATAGAACGATGATTGAGATCTTACCTGGTACTACTACTACTAATCGCGGGGATGGGGATGGGAAGAAGAAGATTGAAGAGACAGTCGATTTGGGGTGGGCTGGAAGGGTCGTGCTCGAGGTGGAGGGTACTAGTGAATGTGCTAGAGAACTTTTGAAGAGGTGTTCTAGGGAATGGAGTGTTGAAATTGAACAAGTTGGGTTCTTTTGGTCTTGATTTTTGTGCTCTTTTTTCTTTTTTTCTTTTGATTTTCTTTTGATTTTTTTTGAGGGGTTTGAAGAAAACAAAAGAATTGATTTTGTGTTTTGGTATTGGTTTGGAATAGAAAAATGGGAGATCAGGGTCTGGGACGATTCATTTGACTCCTTGGAGGATTATTAGGGAGAAATGTGGACCTGGAAAGATGTGGATTAGGTAAGAGTTTTTTTTTGATTTTTGTGAAAAAGGTTTGATGGGTTTTGTATTGAATTGCATTTTTGTTTCGGTTTTTTGTTTATGAATAGACCTGTTTTAGATGATGAAAAGGTTTAGGAAAACTTGGGTTGAGCTTGAGTTGATCATGGTTTAGGTTTTTAGGTTTTTCTTTTGGTAGCGGTTTGGGATTATCATTCTTTTGGTTTGGAGCGGTTTGGGATTATCATTCTTTTGGTTCGGTTTGGTTTTTTGGGTTTAGGTAATTTGTTTTGAGTATAATTTTAAGTGAACGAAAAGAAAGAATCAAGTCAGATGTTTTAGAATGTGTGATTGTGATTGTGTGTGTGTTTTGATTTGAAGTTTTGAAATCTTCAGATGGTATACATACTAGAAAATAAGTAATCTTTCGTATAGAAAAATGAAGGATTTCATTATAAAGAAATGAAGGATTTCATTATAAAGAAATGAAGGATTTAATTGTTGGAGTTTTTTTGACTTTTTTACTTTCTTAAAAAAGAATTTTTAATGGTTTATACTTGAATTGATTTTTTTTGTAATTGGGTATCTTTGTTTTGGTATGCATTGAGTTTGATTGATTGATGAAAGTCTTGGTTTGAGAAAGTTTTTAGATTATACAAATCAATTGGATTCTTCATGGGGGTTTTTCTTGGCTCATGTGTTTTTCAGAGAATGTTTTTTTTGAGTTGATGAATGGAGTTTGGACATACACGAGTTTACAGATTTCTAAATCTTGTACAGCCGTTAGAGCATCTCCTATCGTCTCGGTAAAGGGCTTCGGTACGGTAAATTTTACTGTACCGAGCCTCAAAATCCCCAATCGTGTCTAAAACACGCTTCGGTATCTATCGATTCGGTCAAAAATCTGTAGAGGTCCAGCAAATTTACTGGACCTCTACCGATTCTGCAGACACTCGATATACCAAAGCTACCGAGGTGTCTCCAAGTTCCCCAAATGGCAAATACCACCAAATACCTCACTACACTACATCTATCTCTTCCATCTCTACTATGTCACTACTTCCATCTCTACTACACTACATATCCTGTGTTTTGTTCGATTTCCACTACAATACATTTCATCATTTCATTGTCATCTCGAATATCAACTCCTCATCATCAATCAAGATGAATCAATCACATGATGTTGACAATAAAACAAATCAAAACGGGCAAAATTTACCAATGTATCATGACAAAGATTGGTGCGATGACCGATCACTTCATTTCAAACTACCCAAACTCGCCATCTTAGAGATCTCGAATGAGAGCTCGTTTATTTGATTGTGGTTTGTCATCAGCACCCATGATCGAAAAAGTTGAATTTTGATAAAATTTTGTATTAAATCTCGGTGCGACACAAATTTGTATTTTTATGCCTTTTATATATTTAGTAGCTGTAAATCTTTACCACGAGTTTTACAGGAATTTTATTAGAGTATGAAGTTGTCTTGTGAATTTGTGTCAAGTGATACCTACTTGTTGGAGGTCTAGTTGGCCAAAAAGTGCCCTAAAAATGTTTGTACTTTTGCCTTCCAACCCTTGAATTTTTATTCATTTTTTTTATAGAATAAATACTAGAATGTGCTTCTTGGGAAGGGCTTTTTAAAAATTTGAAAATTATAAGCTACATATGTTTTTATGTAGGCACATTTGAATTTTAGGCATTTTTTTAACTTGAAACCCCTTATATATTGATTATTACAAACTGTACCATATCACAACAATAATGAAGATTTTGAGGGTCATGTTTGTTGACCATTTTTTTTATGTAAACAAGGAGAAAGGTTTTAATTTTTGATGGATTGAAAAAATGCTTGAATATAGATTTTTCTTAAGAATGTAATAACATACTTTTTCACTTCTTAAAGTTTTTAGCAGAGTAATTTGCCAGACCAAGATTGGGTCAGATTGAGGATTTTGAACAAGCTGCTCACTAAGGGATTAAGGCATTGAGGGAATGAGGGAATGAGCTGTTGGTTTATGAACATGGTTTAGTGAGCTGAAGAAGGGTTGGATTGAAGTATAAATTTCTAGTTGATCTCATTGATATTTGTGATCAGTTTTGAGGATTGATTGTAAGGGTTTGAAGAGAGATATCAACCATAGATGATGAATGGATTGTCTTAAAGAAGCTTTACATCTTCTTCATACATATGTGATTTGGATAACTTGTTTGAAAGAACTTGATGTGGTTTCCATTGTGCTAGATCATGTGGTGTGAATTACAAGAAGTAATCTTTGTGAATTATTACTCAATTTATTTGGTTCTGTTTGTATATGTTTCTAAGGATGTCAAGGGTTTGGAAAAGATTTCTTTGGGATTGGGATTGGGCTCATTGTTGTGAGTTGAGGTGTAGATCTTTATAAATAGTTTGATTTTTTGACAGATTCAACTGAAAAGTTCTTGATTCTGGTGACGTCTTGCCCTGAAGACTGGCAAAATCTAACATTTCATCACATCACACAAAAGATTAAGATCAAGATTTGTAAGAGCATCCACTATCATGACAGTATTTTATTGTAAGTTTTGCGTTTCCTAAGCGCAAAATTTGATCATGCATGTAACAACTAATTCACTTCTTAAGGTCTTCAGCAGTGTAATTTGCCAGACCAAGATTGGGTGAGATTGAGAATTCTGAATATAAAGGAATCAGTTTTGGTGCGGGTGGCAAGGGAGAGCGGGGATTACCCTGATCGCCCTGAGGCCTGAATTGTGCCAAAAAAAAATCAGGAGTACAGAGGGCAGCCACACTTGGCGCTGAGCCTCTCCACTGGAGCCTGAGGACTCCCCTACCTGTTGCTCAAGAGAAATGCTACAAGGATTGGACACTAACAATCAAGGTTGAGATAGGATAGAGCTCAAAACTTGACTCTTGTCTGACAGGAGGGTGGTGGGCGGCAAACAAAAATGTTCTAACTGAAAAGATGTTGGATATACAATTAAGTGAGAAATGTAGAAAAGCTGTATTAAGGAAAATATTTTTTGATATGATTTTTGGATTCTTTTGTTGATTATAAGATTATGAAAATCCACATTGCTGTCCCAGCGTAGTCTTTGTACTTTCTGACTGAGTTAGGTTCCTTTATATTGTTAGTTTAACACTCCTACAAGAAAAAGCCTGTTCACTCACTCTTTAGGAGGTTAGTGAATTTACTTGTTCAATAACATTGCATTTTCAGCTTGAAACTGACAAAGCCCTGAGGCTCAACTCAGGCATCTCTGGATTCCTTCTTGAGAAAAAACCCAGGTCTAAAACTTGCACAAAGACTTTTGGTGCATTTTTCCTGGGATCATGAAGGGATCAACACATGTAGAAGATGAGACTGAACAAAATTGATAATGACTAACAGTTGGATTTATAGAGGAGGGAAGTGGGAAAATGCAAAACAAAACTTAAGAGGACTTGAGCGGTAGAGTTCTCAAACATAAAAAAACGAGTTGTAAGTCCCTCTCTGCAGGCTCCAAGGGAAGCCGTGAGAGGGACTTTGTCCAGTCAAATATTACATAATTGTTGTGCTGCAAAAGGTTTTTTGGGTGTTTTTGGAGCCTTGTGTATATCACAGTAGCTTTTATATAGTTTGAAGACACACATGTAATGACTTACATGCTGAGCCAGAACAATCCCCAACAAAAGGTTCAACAAAAGAGATATTGTCCTCTACTTGTCATTTTTTTCAGATTTTTCTTGTCACTTTTGAAGGCCAAATTTAGTGGTCCATTCCTGCGTTTTTATGTGTTATTTCAGGAAAACCTACAAACTCACCAGGCTGAGTGCTTGGATTTTTCTACATTGACCAAAATCTGCCAACAGAAAGAACATAGCATGGTTTGACTTACCTGATTTTTTCAGATTTTTTAGACCAATTCCAAGCATGTCATTTGAAATACTAGATTCAACCATGTTTTGCCATGGAGAAACACATGATCTACACCATGTGTACTGTTAAATAAAAATGAGGTGTAAATTACTCTAATCTCTGTGACATGTCTTGTACAACTTCCACTGGTTGTGAATTTTACCATTGAGAGTCTAATGGTTGTCTAATTAACAATAATTTGATACAAAAACCACTAAAGGTGATCAAAATTCAGATAAAATAAAGGAAAGAGAGATCTTGATTACCAAAGGGATATTTCTTTGTTTTGGGAGCTTAATGCAATGGCCTACATGTCTGCCTGGTGTTCAATCTTTTCATCTGAGCTCATAGGTACTACTTAAGTTTATGCCTTTGGTTTTGAGTTTCAATTCCAAGAACCCATCATACCAACAATCTTGCCCAAGTCAATGGTGATTCATCAGGTAAAACCTTGATGACAAAATCAAATTCATGTGGATCTGATTTTTGCAAGTATGCTAAATGATTATTCCAAGACTTGAGTAGACTTTGTGCGCAATGAATTGGCATGCAAAAAACTGATGGATCTTGGTAGGTCAATAATTCATGAAATAGCTGCTCAGGATCTGAGTAATCTACTACACTGTTTTCAGATATTGAAACTTTTCCATTGAAAAACTCGTGAAGTTTTTGGTCAAATTGAAAGTCTTTCCATTTTGTAAATATTCCTTCAAGGAACTCCCAAGCACTCTTGAGGATCAACTGGAATGTATGTTCTGATTGTTCTTTCTGGTATAGTGCTCTTACAAGGCCTATAAATATCACACTGACCCTATACTCAGCCACACTGATAGCCTTGACAATTCTTTCAAAAATCATTTTGTGGGGTTTGATATCAGAAAGTTCCTTATCTTCTTCCCAGAGTGCCTTTCCATCTGAAGAAACATCACCTTGATAGGACCCCTTGTAACATTCCAAAAGATTATCAATTAATGAAACAAAGAAACTGTGAACCTCTTGACACAAAGCCATTCCCACAGGTGAGTGAAATTGTGCAGAAGAGGATAGAGACTTGCAGATTTCATACCAGTGTGTGATATTTGCTGGTTCAGGTGCTTCAGTCACATATCTCCCAGTCACTTTAACTCCCTTGAATGCAATGTTCCTTATGTCTCCTCTTCCATAAAACCCACCATGTCTTTGCTTCACATATGTATCATGAAATTTTTGAATTTGTGAATGATACCATGCAAATTTGGTTACAAAAATTTGTGAAGTTGTTCTTTGCTTATCCCATTCAAGTATAAGATGATGGACTGGATCAAGAGTCAATTTTCTAGGTTCCTTAAGGTGGCATAGGTGATGGAACCGGAATTCTGGGTTACTCCAGTCATACTTTTTCTTGCGAAAATTTATAGTGCTGTCAAAATCTGTGACAGTTTTGATATGGGAATTATTCAGGTCTGTTATATTCAAGGGTCTCCATTTCTCAAAGTTTAGTTTGATCAAATTCCAACCCTCTTTCAAAAGTATATCTAAAGAGAATTCATCACCCCCACTGTTTGCAAAGACTGCAATGAGGCCTAGAAAGCACATGGTGACCTTCAAGTGAGAAATTTTGATGGCTTGATAAATCAGTTTAGCTTTGGATTGATCCCAATTATTATTTTCAAGCATATCTTTTTCTAGCTTTTCAAACCACTGGGTTGTCTCATAACATAGACCTGGTGATGTATTCACAAAATATGCACCAATCCTTTGCAGCACTGGAAGTAGATCCCTTGATTTGGTACTTGAACGGAAATCCTTTCTTGATATATCTACTAGAGGGAAGCGGACTAGACTACCTGAGCAGCTGGAGGTAGGGATTTCTTGTATTCTTATATGATTGGGCCCAAGGGCTACACGGCTTTTTGGAATTGATCTTGTCTCTGATTGTAGATTTAATTCTTGTAATAGATTTTTGCCTTGGAAGTCCTTTGCACTGGAATGTAATTTTCTTGCAGGGGTGTCAATATCACTAAAATCTGTCTGAGGCAAATCACCAGGCAAGACGCTCTGTAGAGAAACCTGGTCATGTAGTATATTCTCTGGTTTCTTTTTTCTTTTTCTTGATTCTGTATTTGAAAGACCGTGATCCACATCAAGTAGTCTCCTGTGAGTATCTCTGTGTATATCTTCAGAATCCTTGTTGTGGTTTTCCAAACACCGCTCTGGACCCAGTAAATCATCTAAGGATATTGAATAATCCTGAATAGGATCTAAAACTCTCTCAATTTCCTTTGATTTTGAAGCTTGAAAGGTGCTTGGAGCATGAAATGGGAAGTTCCAATTGATTTGTGACCTCTGAAACACCTCAAATCCTGGTGGTTGATTTTTGTGATTCTCCTTCTTGATAGTGTTTATGTTTTTGAGCTTTTCTTGGGTATCAATGTGTTCTTGAGTTGGATATAACAATTCAGAGAGTTCTATGTGTGATGATGGGGATATGCAATGCACATCTTCACCCTCCTGAATAATTTGGTCTTTGTCTGCCAGAAAGTTAGGGGATGAAAGCAAAGTGGGTTGAGAATACAAAATATCATAGAGCTCTATGAATGTGGATGGAGAATTGCAGTTCCCCTTTTCACCTTCCTGGAAAATATGGTCTTTCTGCCCCGAAGAGTTGGGTACTGCAAATTTCAATAAGTCAGGTTGTGAGAACCTTTCTGCATGACTTTGAGTATTCCCATATTTCCTGAGATCATTGTCTGTGTTTTCATCATGAGATCTCAGAGAGGCTGGATATCCTTCTTCAGAATGGGAAAGGACTTCCTTTTGAGAATAAACTTGTGGTGTCCAAGGGCTGACAGAATCAGAAAGGGGGTACTTGTTTGCTTCATTCTGGTTTTGGGAATGATCAGTCAAGATATTTTGACTGGGTGATGTATTGAGCTGGCCCATTATCCCCCTTTCATGGTCACTGTTATCCAGCCATATATTTCCTTCTGCAAATGCTTGGAATATGCTCAATGGAGTGGGTTTATTTTCCAATGCTGAGTTTTGGGGTGAAAGGTTTATCAATAAAAGTATCTGCCAAAATATATTCAATCTTACAGTCTTTGACATCTTGTGAGGCATTCCTGTCACTAAGATTGTTGATAAAAACAAGACAGAGGAAAAGGAATGGCCAAATTTAGTCAGCAAGTAGTGCCAAAGATTCAGTGTTTTCAAATACATACTCAATGAAAATCAATTTTGATACAAGATTGGGAATGATTAAGTGGTGCAATAAACTAAGTGAAGAAGAGGATAAAGAAATGAGGAGATTTGATAGAGATGAATTTAAATATAATTTTCATCTCAGCCACTTGCCTGTGGGACTCCATGCTGCTGCTCAAGGTGTAATTTTGAAATTCTGACCTGTTTGGGTGATTGTATGGTAAAGTGAGACAGAATTATTATGTAAGAACCACTGCTCAGTGTTAAGTACACTCATTTGTTGTCCAGGGCCGATTGCATGGAACTTTACAAGTATCAAACTGGGCAGTTACTGAAATTTTATTTGATTCAAACTCTACAACTCCCAGACAAGTTTTAAAGGTTTTTGACTGACCACCATGTAACAAATTTGAAAGCAGGATATACTAGAACCTGGTTTATGTGTTCCTGTGAAATGAAATCAGTATACCTGCCTATTGAAACCAATATTACTCCAACACCAAATCACATGTTCTATATTTAGGCCAAACAATATCAATGAAGACATTCAGCAATACGGTTTGGAAGAGCATAATGGTGGCTATTGGTAATTAAATCAAAGACATATTTTTCATGGTCCAATATCATATCAAATTGATTCAAGAAGTTTTGGGCAAATGAGAACCAAGATCAATGATAGTCAAATGTGAATCAACACCCCCGGCGCTCCCCCCAAGATAGCGCAGGCGGAGCGGTAGCAGAGCGCGCGCCCTGCCCGCGCTAGGCCTTTTTTGATATAGTGGTCTTTCACCCGTGCTATAGCTAGGGCCAAACCCTTAAGAAATATAGCAATTTTTTTTGCTCTGTGTAGCAAAAGATCACACCGCTATAATGCACCATAGCGTGACAGAGCGCCAGGAAACTCATAGCGCACCAAGCAAGACCAAGGAATCTCTTGACATCACCGTCAGTGTCCTATCTCTTTCAATTTCTTTCTCCATATTGGACCATCACACTTCCAGCCGAGTTCAATGCAACAGGTGCCCAAAGGCACGACGGCACCTGTGTAGTTCCATGTAAACTCTGGGATGAACAGTAAGAGGAGAACCCGGTACCCGAGAAAAGGTACTGGGCTAACGACACATCGTTGCACCACTAGTTCGGAAAGACGAACTTTGAATTTGAAATTTTTCACTTATAAAAATTTCTTCATCCCACCTTCACCAACTTTTAAAACAGTAATAAGAGGTAATCACAACTTCATTTCAATTCATCTCCCTCAATTTTTCTTTGCCACCCCACCCACCCCTGCACCCGACCACGCAGAGAGCCTACTTGGTCTGAGACCTGCGGCCTAACGGCCCCCCCCCAAACACGCCATGTAACTTAGTGCTTAGAAACTAGGTTGTGTGGTAGATGGTTAAAAGACTAGTGTAGATTCTCAGAGTGATAGACTGAAACACATAAGAAACAAAAATGGAAACATTAAAACAAAAACTTAAATAACAAAATGAGAAATAGAGAAATATAAATTGAAATGAAAAACCTAATGTGAAGGGAGTTTAAATGGAATACTTGAACCTTTGAATTTGACTTTGAATGTGCCTATGCACGTTAAGTATCCTCACTGGTAGTATGGCACACTCAGCGCTGACAATTCTGATTTGGTATTGATCTCATGTAGGTCGGTTATAGGATCAACAGTGGCATTGATGTTTTAATTGATTATAAAATATGGATCAAATAGCCCAGATCATGAGGACACAAGTGGCAGATCCGTCATACAGAGCGTCCAAGATTCATGGCTATGGTTCAATACTTCAAAGCTGGCCATTCACATTTATATCACCAAACTTGTTATCATGCAGCAACTCAGCTGTGCGCGACCAAAAACGGTAACAGCAACTCATCCATCATGAATGATGTAAAAATGTTTAGGAGATTCAATTCATCAAACTGTCCACTCCATGAATCCAATAGCAATGAACTCAAAAGACGGATCCGAACCAACAGATCCTCAAGTGGCAACTCTTTCAATAGCCCTTCATTTTTTGACAGGGAGAAACTCTTGATGTTTACTACAGCTACCGAAATCGAGTATGTAGAGCATGAATTTCTTGAGTCACCTTCTCAGAAACAAGAGTTAGGATTCAGCTGTGAAAATGATCCAAAAACTCTCAAAGGGAGAGGCATCAAGTCTATCAAAACCCGGCTTCAGAAAAAGGGTGAAGGCTGTAGAAGTGGTATAGCTCTGTACACCAGTATGCAGCTGTATATCTTCTGAAGGAATCTGGTTTGAGAAAAATCGGCGTCAAACCAGCTCTGCAGTTGGCGTGGTTTATCAATCACCTAAAAAATAGTTCTAACTAGATGAGTACTCACCAGATGTATGGATCTCTGTGGTCTTCTACAGACAGGTACCTAAGTAATCCTATCTGAGTTGAAATTGTAGGTTTTACTTCTAATTGAGTAAAGGCTGGTCTGTTATTCAGATAAGAAGGTCTAGGACTACCTTTGATAAGCAAATTGGGTCTCTGCGGGTTTTGATCTGATTTCAAAGATGAAAGGTTTTAGATGAGACTTTCAAACAATAAAGTGCTTTCAAAATCAAAATAAGACAAATGGAATAGATTCTAGTTTACAACAAGTAAAAAAAGTTCTCATTCTAAAAGTGATTAGCTGGGTTTTTGGTTTGAAGAGATGTTATAGAATTTGGATTTCTAAAGATGATTGGTTGGTTTAAATTATAAGATACAGATTTTTGGTTTCTTGCAAATTTCATTCCATATTTACTTTGATTATGGATGAAGTTTTTCTGATGATCATTGTGATTGTACTACTCAATAAGGCTTCAAACAGAATCCTGACTGGTTTTATTATTCTATTAAAACATGTCCTTGCTCAGAGTTCTTTTAATGAAACCTTGCCTGGTATGTCTGTGGCTTTAGAAGATATAAAAACTCAGAGTTTTTTTATTAAACTTGCAAAGTATCACTTGTGGTGTTTCTCTTTGGGAATGGCTAGTCAGGCTTTTTTTTGTAAGGGACACCATGGGTAGTCAATAATTCAATTCACTCTTGACACTGGAGTGTGAGGTGTGGTTTTTTCAACCTAAGGAGTCCATAGACTCATTCTCTAGGCTGACATGGAAATTTCATTCATGAATGGCTCAAGCTTTTTTTTCAAACATTTCATATGAATCATTTGAAATTTTTAATTGATGGGTTTTGGGTAGAAATTCACAAATTGGTGAGTACCTAAAGATCTCATAATGTTACATTTAAAGCTCAGGTTTGAATTCCAGCACTTCTTATAGTTACTCAGCTGATAGTTTGAAAGGCTTTTCTATGATCTGCTTCTCAATAATAAGGGTACTCAAAGTAAGTATGACGTGTACATACTTTTTGCTATATACTTTTTTTGGCGGGGAAGACGTGGCCAAAAGTATATTTTTTTCTTTGTCCCCGCCAAAAAAAGGATGTAGCAAAAAGGATGTAGCGCTACATACTTTACTTTGAGTACCCTTAATAACAAGCCAATTTGATTACACAGGCTGGTTGATTGAGGAAGTTACTTTGTGGATGATTCTTGATGAGATGCAAGAATCCTAAAATCAACCATTTTGGCTGGCTTGCCTTCAGAGGCAATGGACATACTGTAAACTTCAGCCTTCCTTTGATCTGCACTAATTGTGTCAAATACACAGTTAGAAACATAAATGTATACAGGCTGAGTAGGCACATATACCTTTCCTTGGGTACAAAGCCATTGTTGTGTAGAAGTTATGGCAGGTTGAAAAGCTCCCCAGCCAAAAGTTTCTCCAAAATTGGTGGATAAGGTAGAAGTACCTTCCTTGTAGGCTTGCTTGCCAAGAAGGACTTTGCTGCCAGGTTAGCTGAGGCCCTACTTGAAGAGGTTTGTCTTTGGAAGACCAAAAGATTGAGTCACCATTCCTTCTTTTGCAAAAGTATAAGGAATTAGTAAAGTGGGTTTGGATTAGTAAACTGTGTTGAACTTTGGTAGTTTTGTCCTTACACTTCAATCTTTCTGTGCATTGTTTTCAGAATCAAATTCTACAGGATCCATTGCACCCACAAGATGATTCAAAAATCTCAACTTACACTCTTCCAAATCTCCCCAAAGCCATTTCAGATAAGCAGGACCAAGGCATGGAATGCAGAATCACACTCCTTGCACCTTTGAACTATTTAAACCAAAGAAGGCAGAACCATCCAAGATTTAAACCATCAAGGTTTACTTCACACCACCTTGTTGGTGTATTTACAATATGTCCATGGCCTGTGATAGTGAGAGCCAAACAGCCAAAAATCTTGATTCTAGACTTCTTGGGACCACCAAGGGACTTTGATGGCCTGTGATGGTGAGAGCCAAACAGCCAAAAATCTTGATTCTAGGCTTCTTGGGATCACCAAGGGACTTTGTTAGGTTAGTTCAAAGCAAGTCAATTGATAGGAACAGCCCCAATTGAATCTTGATACATTTTCCCTCCTTGATTTAATTCTTGGAACTTGATCAAATCAATCTCAACTGTTTGATGAAGTTAGGGTTGATTTAAAAGGGTTTGAGTGAATGAAAAGAGTTCTTTTTCGATTTTTAATAAGATAGATTGATCGATTTCAATTAAATGGGTTGGAATATCAAATGAAACAAACACTTGTTGTTTAAACCTTTGTGCTTTTTTTAAAAGATTTCGAAAAAACAAATTCGAATCAGTTTTGGAAATCAGAATGAGATGGGTTGGATGTATGAAGGATTGATAGGATGGAGGGAAGGGTACCTAGTTTTTTGGATAGAGATTGACTGAAGGTCATGGATGGTGATATTGAGTTTAAGAGAGTCGAAGCGGATGGAAAAGACTTTTTTGAAGACCCCATCGATCGTTAAAACCAATTCAATCAATCCGGATTCTAATAGTAATAGTAAAATGATGATGGAAAGAAGATATAGGACTTACCGAATAAGGAGGTATTGCACAAGACCAATCATTGGCTAATGAAGCTTTTATAGAATCGTGATCTGACTTTGAATGGGTTCCGATCCAGATCATCATCGAATCTTTTAGTAAGGTAAAATGGAATACGAAGTCTGGTAATGAGGTTGTGATTGAAGAAGTTAGGATGAAGGTGTGAGTATGAGATTTTAGAGCGCATTGCGGGTTCATTTTTGAGGTTGGATGGTCGAAAGGTTGGGAATGGATAAGCTTGAAAGTGTGATTGGTGATTAAGGATGAGGAATTGGAAAAGGAGTTGAGATAAAGTACATTTTAATTTAATGTAGTTTCACTGTTTACTTTTCGATTTGATTTTCTCTGCACTTTGATTAGCAAGAACACAACGATACTGAAACAAATCAAATAGAAAAATACAATCGAACCAACGAACAAACGAAAGAAAGAAAGAAAGAAAAGAAAGAAAAGAAAGCAAGTTTTTTTGAAATAAATGACCACACTAATCTCACCAGTTAGTATGTTCAGATCAGATTCGATTCCAATTCAAACTAACTCATCAAGTAAGTCTCCATCAAAATCAAAAACACTTTATCATCACTTCACTTTATACTAAAAACCGATCCATACTTGTCTTTTTTAGGTTCAACTTCCACTCGATTTTCATTATCACTACCAATAGATTCAACCACCACCACGACGAATCCCAAATCAAATCATTATATCTTAAAATCCAATTCATTAATCTCAGCATTAATCTCACCACATCATCATCATTCAAACCATCAACATACCCATCATCAATCTAATCATCTATCAAACCCACCACACCAAACTCTGAGGTCTTCTTCATCCAATCATCAAAACAGATTACCAAGACCAAGAGCATTAAGTTCATCACATTTACCACCCCCGTTCCCTTCACCATCCGGTACATTCTTACCACCTCCTCTGGGCCATTATTTACCACTAAGGTTACCGTCCCATTCAGAACGAAAATCACGTTCGAACAAAGAAAAAACTAGATCTGATGTGTGTCGGGTTGAAGATGAAGAAGATCATCGTCAAGAAGGTTTGAGATTGGGGTTGGGGAATAAGTGGCATAAGAGGTCTTCTAGTTTACATACTTTACCTTCTTTGGATCGATCGGAAACTTACCAAACTAGAAAAAGATCACTTTCTAGTACTGTGATGGATACAAGCTCAAATCAGAATCCGATTACCAAACCACAACAACAACATCATCCGATCTTGATACGTGATTTCGGGTTTCCGTTGAATGATGAGCGACATTATAGGACTATCCAAACGGATCAACTGAGAACGAATCCCTCAAACTATTCAAGACCTTTGATGAAACCGAACTCGTTGGAAGAAAGCTTTCAATCACAGTTATGTTTACCACCGGAAGAAGAAGGGGAAGAAGAAGAAGAATTGAGACTTGGTTCTAATAAACCTAGTTTATGGACTACTACTATGAGGACTGAACGAACTGAAACAGATCATCGCGAGGAGGAGGAAACAGGGGAAGAAGAAGAAGATGAAGAAGACGGGTTGAGAGAAGAGATTGAAAGAAGAAGAGAATCGTTAGACAAAAGTTTACAATCGATCGGAAGACCGTCGATCGGCTCTAACTTGGATTCATCAGGAAGCACTTCCTCGTCCCCAGGATCATCAGGCGAAGAAGAAGATGAAGGGTTATGGGTAGCCTTGTATGATTTTGTAGCAGAAGGAGAAGGCGAGATGGGAATCTATGAAGGCGAGATCTTGAGAGTTTTGAAGGTCGTTTGTGATGGATGGGTGATTGCGAGAAAGGTTCCGGGTGAATTGGATGAAGATGGAAGGTTTGTCGAACGGGTTTTGGACCCGACTTGTTTGGCTGAAGAGACTAGGATTGATGCTGCTATTGAAGTTATGCCTATGGGATTGTGTCCTCAGAATTATTTGGCTAGGATTTAATGGTTCTTTTTTTTTGCGCTGGGGGGATTGAGTCTCTTTTTTTGGTTTCTTTTTTTTTGGTTTCTTTAGATGGATTTTTTTTTCTTTCTTTTATATTTTGTTTTGGATTTGATTATTATTAAAAAAAGTGGACCAAGTTGGATTGTTCCGGGGGTTTTTTTGTCCAAAGGGTTTGACTATTTGGTTTTATTTTTTTTGTTTTCGTCTCGATTTTTATTTGATTTACATAGCTTTTCTTTTTTTGTGTGTGGGGGTTTGAGTTTGGGTTTTAATTTATTTTGGAGATGAATTATTAATATATATAGAAAAACATTCTAAATTGATAAAGAGAAAGAGATGTTTTTTTTGTTCTTACAGTTGGTTGGTTTGGATGAGATCAAAGGGTTTTTTCGGTTTTGGTTTTTGGAAAGAAAAGATGATTTGGATTTCATGGGTTCTATATGTTGTTTTTGGGGTTTTTTATATAGAAGGTTTGGAACTTGGGTTTGAATGGGATTTTGGTTTGTTGTATTATAGGAATGCATTATTTGGAAAAGAAAGATTTGGATTTGGATTTGAAGGATGTTTGATGAGGATCCTTTTGTTTTTGGGAAAAAGATGAAGATCACCTAGGTTCTAATACTATTTAGAACTCTTTATTTGAAAAGGTATTGAATGTGGAGTCACTATGAAGGACTGAGGGCCAAGGCTGCTATCAATTTGAAGCACCTTTTACGCGTCCGGGCGATTTGATGTTGAACTTGGTCTTGGGGTGATGAGAAGTTCACATGTACAATTCTGTAAAGTTATGGATCTTGTTTGAAGAGATGTGTTTAGAGAGGTTTCACGATTTCTTCTTGATTTTTTCAATCAGCCACTGCCAGCAGTGAATTCGAATTTCTCAAATTTGATAATCTCAATTACGAATCAACATCTTCAAAATGGTACGTGTTTTCCTTGGGTGTGCTCAACTGAATACTTCTGATAAAAAGAAACTAATTATCATCAAATTCATTGGGCACGAAAAAAAAAATCAAAGTCTAGAATCGAAATTTTATCATCAGCAGGACTTAGACAAGATAATAGAAGACCATATGAATTAAGACAACTTGATTTTAAAATACTGAAATCATCACCTAATTCATTAGACGGATCATCAATCGTTTCACACGGATTAACCAAAGTAACTTCATCAGTTTCAGGACCAAAAGAAATCACTTCATCATCATCATCAAATCATAAATCGAATCTTAAATCTCATACTAATAATGTTGGATCGATTCAAGTTTATGTTAATATGACGAATTTTTCACAATCTGATCGAAAAAAACTTTCCAAGGTTGATAAACGATTAATGGATTTGAGTTTTTCTATTCAAAATACATTCGAAAGTGTGATTATGTTAAAGTTGTATCCTAGAAGTTTGATTGAAATCTTTATTGAAGTTTTACAAGAAGATGGAGGTAAATTCATGAATTTCGATTCAGTTTTTTTATACATTCATGATGATTGAAAAGTTAGATTCTGATGCTTGTTTTTTTTTCCTGTTGTTCTGTAGGTTTATTACAAGCTGCTATTAATGCTACTTCATTAAGTTTAATTGCTTCAGGAATTTCGATTCAAGATTACATCCTCGCGATCTCCATTGGATCTTTATCTAACCCTAACTTACCCTTACTAGACGTCACGAATTTAGAACAATTAGATTTACCTTCACTTACGATTGCAAGTTTACCTAGATCTTCAAAGATCAGTTTGATTCAAGTCGAAAGTAGATTGAATATAGATGAATTTGAAAAGCTTTGTAGGATCGGATTGGAAGCTTGTGAGGTTTTGAAAGATGAACTTTTAGGTGAAGTTAAGAGATGGATGTTGGATTTGAATTCCATTGTTGGGTTTGATGATTCAGATTCGAAAAATGTTCAAGATGTTAAGATGGTTCTTTGAATGATTCTTTTCTTGTTTTGATTTTGTTAATATTTTTTTTCTGATCTGATCAAAAATTGAGGTTTCTTTAATTACATACATAGTACAATTAAGATACCCTTTTTTGAAATGTAAAATTATTTCTTTCAAACTTTGATTGGTACAATTAAAAGATCCTTACATATTCAATTTTTCTTTGGTATTGAAACTTTAAAAAACCTTTTTTCTTTGGAATCTTCTCTTTCATTCAAATTAGAGTGAAGTCAATTCTTGTAAAAGTTTGTTTCCTCATAAACCAATTTTATTCACTGAACATAATCTACTTTCTTTGCAAGACAATCCCTTAAAAAGTGTGGATGGAATCCTAAGATGTTCCCAAGAAGTCAGAGGTCATTTTGAAATTTTTGCTTTATGCTTTACATTGGGGAGAAACGCTTGACAAGAATGACTTTAAGGCTTGAATTTTGTTTGAGAGTTTGGTTTCTTAAAACATTAATGACAAGAAGTAACCTGCTATCCCTAAGGCTATACCCATTCCCTTATTGCACTACAAAATCATATGGATATAGGGTGCCCAGCCAACAGATTGTCCACTGTGACATATTATGGTACACACACTAGATATGAATTGTGAACACTCCTTGAGGGTACACTATCAATTGATACCCTTGATGAATTACACTATGACTTCAACTCATGTTAGTCACTATTATCCCAGTCATTGTTCATGAAATCAATAAGCAATAGTTAAGATGGTGCAGTTCAAACAGCGATCAAAAGAGATACAAAAAATGATGTCTGTACATGGGTGGAGATCAGTAGGAAGCAAAGGAAAAGGGATAAAAATTTTCCAATTGAGCAACATATAGAGTATACTTATAAAGAGAAATCCAAGCCCAAGTCACTTGTGGCAGTGCTGTGGTTAGAAAGGGGAAGACATATTTGAACCAAGGCCTCAATTCATATCTTCTTTGTTCATGTATTTTACTTTTAAAGATTCTTTAGAACACTTGTCACCTTTTATATCATAAGTTTCTTGTGCCTGTGGGCTTGCCATACCAGGATTTGTGAATGAAGTCAATGCTGGCAAATGAAGGTTGTAGGTGCATGAAAAAGTTGATCAATCCTCTTCTGATTCAAATGAGATGATCGGCTCAAATCTATGGTCTTGATATTCCAGCCTTTTTCATCCATTTGTGGAGCTTCTTTGGTACTGGATTCAGAAAGGCTTGAACAAATTATAGTTGAAAAACAGTGTGTTATTCAGCCATAATGATGGGCAAGTTGGTAAAAGTTTTACAGGAAGTTTTCCTCTGCAGCTCAAGATGGCAATATCTCAATAACCCTAAAAATGGTTCAATTAGGGGATACAAAGTTAAATCTGGGATTTTTTCCCAGTTTCCCAGTTTTTGTTTTTGGCTGTGTTTGGTACTTTCCCACGCTCTCCCAGTTTCCCAGTTTCTGTTTTTGGCTGTATTTTGGAAACTGGGAAACTGGGAAAAAAATCCCAGACTTAACTCAGGATGAGCCCCGACCCCCGAATGCCGGGGACTGGGCTGCCCGGCCCACCGACTTTTTTTCAAAAGTCAGAACGAGGACCGACCCCGGTATTCCCCGAGCTTTTTCTGGCTCATAGGTCAAGCCCGGCTCCCGTACCCTGACCCCCGACGAACTACCAAATCCCCGGGAAATTACGGGGATCCCCGAGTCCCCGGCTATTTCCGGCAGAAACCGCTGAGCACAACCTCTCCCAAGCGTGTATTTATCCGCTTTTTACAGCTTGATTTTTCCTCGGGTTCCCCGAGGAGAGTCACTTTCTTTTGACTCTCAGAACGACTCCCGGGCCCGATAATCCCCGCGGTTCTGCGACCCTTCGAAGGCCAGAACGACCCCCCGACCCGACGGGCTGTCCCGCGGGTATCCCCGATTTGGCGGGTCTCGGGGCTCATCCTGAGATTTAACTTTGTATCCCCTAATTTTAATGTTGACTCTGTTGCCATTTTTCTATGGTCGGTCTAGAATCATTTGAGAGTTGGTTGATATCACTTGTTGCTTTTCCTCAAATTGTCTATGAATCTTGTTTCCGGGTATATGCGTTTTTTGATGTCGTCATTTTTCAAGAATGTGTGTCATAGCGGCACAGCTTTTGATTTTGATATGACATCAGTCCCCAAGGCAATCGAATCGCTTGTGGAATGTTGTGTATCCCATGATGTATTTTTTTTACATTCCTAGGGTAAACCAGTCTTAACACAGCCCTAATTTAACTTTCCAATCTTTGATAAAAGCTCTAGACTTTTTTTGTGAGCTTTTTTTTGCACAATTCACCCAAAGTAGAGATTCCAGGTCGTTTCTGAGGAAGCTCATTGCAGGTCAACAAGTCAAATCACGATCGGAACCTTTACGCGCCTTGATGAAATTCCAGTTTCAAGGGCACTGCAAAATGACATATATGTATTGAAGAACCTCTTGTATACCGATGCTGGTCGTTCGGTCGGCATACTGAATATAAAGTCGTTCATCTTCTTTGCAAACTTTCAGTCTCGTCTGCAAGATACATCGACAAATCTCTAGAAAAAAACCTTGTCACAAACTTCTTCAACAAAACATTCCTAAATCTCGTCCTTCTTCATTATGCCTTCTCTTACCTTTATCGGCTTGACGGAAATCTCTGCCCAAGATTTGAAACCCCAGCCTCAGTCCTCGCGAATCTTAGGGTTTCCTCTTACAATAAATATCAAATCAAGCGAGCCATATTACCATACATCATATTCGTTGTCTCGACCAGGTGTTGATCTTATCTTGGCCTCATCCGATCGTATCCCCTGTCGATTTGCAATCTCTTCTACCGAATTGGCTTTCCATCCCGAAGTCCTCACACGTACTAATCGAGTCAAGATCCAATTTGACGCGGGCTTACCTTTGATTCAGTTGGATGCATCTAAGGAGGTTATTGAGATCATCTTAGCATGTCTTGATTCAGGTCTTGTGCCAGACCTCTCTGGGTACACGTTCGATGATCTTGGTAAGTCATTTTTCTCGAATAACTTCAATGCCGACTTTCCCATATCAGGATCTATCACCATTGATATCTCTTGTCAATTGAAGCTAATTCAATCCCTTATCCTCTTAGTTGGTGCGTTGGAGGCTGTCGCGGGACAATACGAACTTGAGCATGTAGAGCGACACTGTCTTCTTGCAATTGGGTGAGTTACAGTTTTGCAAAGTGTTCATCAAACTATCTCAAGTGCTGATCACCACTTTCTACTATTGGACTTGATGGCATCCTTTTAAAGCGCTTACTACAAGCTCAAACCGATTCACGTCTTTTCTCTGGCTGTGATTTACGGATGTACCTGGATGGCAAAACTCGCGTCTGGTTTTACACTAGCCCTCGACATTAGTCTTCCACAGCATAAGTGCCTTCTTTCGAGCGAAGCCTATGATGCCTTAGTAAGTCTCTTCATCCATGTAATATACTGTCTGGTCAAGTCTTGGAATTGATAGGATATTAATACTATAGACTGAACTTCATACTTATCGAAGGAAGAAAGCTCGTGAAATCTTGAACCAATTAAGATTACCTGTGATCATAAATCATCAAGCACAAAATTGTTCACAAGTTCAATTGATCGAATTCTGGAAACCTTTAATTTCAAGAGTCAAGAGACTATCATGGAATTCTCAAACAAATTTGAAAATCAAACAGTTATTTACAAATGAATTAAAAAAGGCTTCGATTGAAGTACATTGTAATGAATGTTTAAATTTGATGGATTCTTTGGTTGATCAAGCTGATTTAGAATTTGATTTGGTTAGGTCTTGGGCTCTTCCTACTTCTGATTCATCTTATCCTTGTTAGACTTTTTATCATTCTTATTTTGTTGTAATGGTTGAATATAAAAATGGAGTGATGACCTAATAAATCCTATTTTATTGATGTATACCAATGTTCATAACACAACTTCAAAAAATTGATCACAAGATTCTTGTGATAAATTTTGTTTCACTTTCAAATTGATGAAATCACGAGCTACTTGAAAACGCTCAAGTTGTCCATGTTTCTTTTTTAAAGTTTGAGATGTAAAAGATGTAGAAGAATAAAACCACCTTGCCATGACATAGCACTACCTTCTGGCATGAATAAACAGTATCTATCCTCAAGAGCCACATGATCCTATATGGTGACTATGGATTCACCTCAAATGTCCAAGATACAATTCTGGTACCCAATCTTTGTTGGAAGATTCCCAGAGTAAGTCACAGGACTTTCTAAGGCAGTGACCAGATATGAACAGATTGTACCACTTATGAAGATAGTTCACCTGGATTAGTTAGCTGATAGGAAACAGGGGTTTCAGATAATGAACTCGGAAGGTGGTGTAGTCCCACATGATTTCTGAATGATACACCTCATTCTGCATTCTCATCTCTGAATGATGTGATGAAGTTCAAAAAAGAGGATCATAGAGGACAAAAATGAAAGGTCTATTCACTTCTATTTTTTGGGGCATGCATCTTCATTGCACCAGCATTAATATCTAACAGTATGTACACATATTAAAGGAACTGATGAATGGGATGCAATGTGTAATCATTATGTGTGCTGTTGGAATATATACATGTAGCTTGTGTTGTGAAAAGGGGCCAGTTATAAACAACTGTATCTTGCATTCTCCCCGGACCCCAACATTAGCAGTCCCTTGGGTGAGTGAATGTATCTTTGGTAGAGTTAAATATTTCTGAAATATGTAAAAAGAGGAGTGACTAGTTGAATTTCAAAGTTCATTTTGTACAAGTGTTGAGCTTTCCTGTCAAAGCAGTCTCTCTTGTATGGCAATCCAAAAACTCCCACTATCATCAAATGTTTTTTTGTTTTCCAAACTCAATTCTGTCCAAGCTTCCCAGCTTTTGTAAAGTCCCCAATATACAGAATTTGAAATATATGTATAGTTTTTGCCTGTTAATCTGATAAGGTAACTAAGTAAGATACTTGGATCATGAGTCTCAGCAACAGCCTCCAGATTTGGCTTTTTTGTGCTTAAGGCTTTCAACAAATCTGATGAATCCCAATTTTTCATGAAGTCAACCAGGAACTTCAGACCATCTACAACTACAGGACTGGTACCATCTGCCAATTCCTGTGAAGGATGAAGTGATTGAAGAACTCCAATGAAACCATAAGTCATTGTTCTCTTTGCCCTATTCAGTGTTACTTCAAACCCCATTTCAAAATCCATTGGCCAGTCCAATTGATTACTCTGTACATTTGTTCTGATCCTCTCAAATATCTGTTCAACAATGTGAAGTGAAAATTTCTTAAGATGTTTCAGAGCATGTTGTCCAACATTTTTAAGTTTGTCAACACAAGCAGTAATAATCTGGCTATGAGTCAAATTCTTCTTTGGATGAGTTGTTGCTTCAACTGCCTGAACACTGGGACTTGGAATACTCCTTTCCAAGCTAGATGATGGATCTAATAAGGCAATCTCTGAGTTAGGGAAAGCACCCTTCTTCTTTAGTGCAGTATGCAGCTTCTTGCAAAAATCAGAAAGACTCCCAATTTGTTCACTTGAATGGTAAGAAAACTGTGATTTCCATTTTTCTGTCATCTTCCACATAAGTTTCAGTGATACAGTTGTGTACCTTCCCAAGTTCATTGTATAACTCAGAAGCAAAGAGCTATCATTGATATCAAAAGCATCTGATATAATTGAAAGTGCTCTATAAGAATCTTGCCAGTCAATGGTCCTCCATGGTTCAAGAAGATTAGTGATAAATTCCCAACCACTCCTGATTGAGGTGTGCTTTCCATCCTTTGAATGTGGGTAAAGCAACACAAGCACACCAAAGAATGTTGTTGTAACTTCATGGTACACCCTGTGAACTGCATTCTGTGCCTTTTTTGCCAAATGATTGTCTAAGTTTGGATTCAATTCTCTATTATTGACCTCCATGTCTTTGTATAGCAATTGAAACCATGAATTATCCCCATGCTTTCCAAAGTAAAGTTTTTCCTGAACTGCTGCCTCTATGCCAATGTTCCTTGTACTTCGTGCCAAATACTTGGTTCCTGGCATTACATACAATCTTTGCTCAATCATATTGACTCTATCATTAGAGATTTTTGCAACTCTTCCACTATTTACAAACACATACTCTTGAGATCTGTGAAGTTTGTCCTTGGATTTGGATTTTTGGATTTTTTTCTGCTTAAAAGCTGAAAGACTTTTTCCAACTCTGGGAGATGGAATATCCTCAATCATATCAAAGGATTCACTACTGCCATCCAACTCCATATCATCTGGTACATACCCTTCATTCATAGCTGATTGTTCCCTTTTCTGAGTGTCTCCTTCCAAAGGAATTCTGGTGTGAGGATCTGATTGAGCATGTGAATATCTATCATTTTTGAATCCCCCTTGAAGCCTCTGTGACCCATCTTCATCCATGGAGGATTCCACCCTTGCATCTCCTTCAATGGTTGACATGACTACAGATGGCTGAATAGTAGAATCAGGGGGTGAATTCAAATCAAGTTCCCTTGAAAGCTGAGGTGAACCATCATCATCTGTGAAGGATTTAAGCCCCACATGTTCTTGGGTAGATGGCTTGAAAGCAGTCTTGGTGATAGGATCAGGGGGAAAATTCAAGTCAAATGGAAGGATTGTTCTAGATGAAATGGTTTCTTGATGACTTCCACTTTGATCAGAAAGGGAATCCAATGGCAAAAATTGATATCCTTGATTATCTGTCACTCTGAAGGCTTGATTTCCACAATGCTGAATTATGGGTATTTCTGGAGCTTGCATGGCTTCTGCGTGTGAGTCCATTAAATTGAATTGTGAGACATTTTCCATTGGTGAACATGATATCTCAGTGGCTAAAACAAAAAGTGTGAACAGACGTAGAGTGAAAGGGGTCATTGTTCCAGCTGAATCAGGAGATTCTAAAGAAACCGTCTTGAGCTATCTTGGATGACTTTTGATGTTGGACAGAATTCCTTGATGTATAATATTAGCTACTAAAATTCTTTGAAATGTGTTAAAAAAGGGAAAGAACTTCAATGAGTGACCTGAATCAAATATATAATAGCCATGATACTAGAATCAATTCAAAACCTGGTTTTGAGATTGGATACAAAATATGTGCAGCAGGCTTCACCAAGCTTGTTTCAGATGACTACAGCTATACAGGAAAACTTGGACATGTTGTGTAAGATTGTCTGTATCTAAGGCTGATACTTTTGTTTCATCTGGAAATACTGATATTTGATCCCAGATATTCAATATTCCCTTGAATCAAGTTAGGCAACATGCAGTAAACACATGATGCTGTATTGGTAAAGGCATAATGATTTATATATGTGATTTCATGCCTGACACCATGATCTGATTAGTATTACAACAGTTTAATTAAGCTCAACCCAAAATGTACCATGGTATCACAAATCAACACTCAGTTCTCCTCCCTGATAGCTTTCCCTGCACCACTCAAGCTTTATCAACCCTTGCGCCTCAAACCATCTAACTTGAATGAACCTCTTGAGGTCTTGTTTCCAAGGAAACTGTGGCATCAATATGTTGATGGATTTGGATGAGGTGTGAGTTGCAACAGAGGATGAATCCAAAAAACTTGGATGAGTTTCTGGTTAATTGGGGATCAAAAGTTGAGGCTTCCTGAGCAGAATTTCAGAATCTGAACTGTAGCCAAAAAGGAAAGGCTGGAATTCCGGAATTCTGGGAAAAAATCTGGGCACACGCAGGGACGTCTACTTTGTATTACATAATTATCTGTCAAAAGATCAATATGCTGCATGTGGCCAGGATTTCTTGCAATAATATCTGGCCCTTTGGAATAAATGACAGGTACTAATGTGAGTTTGCTAGAGTATAGTACAATTATTATTGATTCATAATTACTGAATGAGTATGTAGATCATATTCTATCAAAGGTAACTAATATAAGTTGACGGGGACTTTCTTGTGTGTTGTGATTGTGCATGATTCTTTGAAGAGCTTAACACCTATTCAGAACCTGTGGATACTAATATATCTCCGAGAATGATGCAAAATGTTACAAACGGGACTCCTGAGGCTGAAGGTCATAATCAAAGGCTCTTTCTGCATTTTTTGGTCTTTGGCATACATCTTCATAGCACTGCACCCTTTGTCAATACCTATCTATGTCAACTATTTAGTCATTGTATACATGTACTATTTGCACCCAAGTTGTGATATGCACAAAGCAATCCCCTCGGTTGGTCAACAAATTTGCTGGATGTAAAGTAGACTATGTGTTGAAGTGCCTAAGGAGAAAACAGTGACCTGTTGAAATTTGTAGTTTATCTTGGTCTTTTTGGTGACAGGCAGTCTGTCCTATATGGTAGTCATACAACTTTTATAATCATGAATTGAATTTTGTTTTTTCAAGCTTGATTCTGTTCAACATTCTCAATCTTATAAAGTCCCCCAAATGCAGAGCTTGCAACATAAGAACATTTTTTGTATGCTAATCTCCTAAGTTAACTGATTAGCATACTAGGATCATGAGTTTCTGCCAAGGCTTTTAAATTTGGTTTTTTTCCACTTAACGCTTTTGATAAATCTAATGAATCCTAATTTTTCATGAAATCAACCAGGAATTCCAAACTATCTAGGACCACAGGGCTAGTACTGCTATCTACCAAATGTTGAGAAGTGATTGAAGAACCCAATGAAACAAAAAGTGATTGTGTTCATTGCCCTATTAAATTTCAATATGAACTCCTGTTTAAATTTGTGTGGCCATAACAACTGGTCCCTTTGTACATTCATTTTCATCTCCTCAGATACATTTCCAACATTTTGAACTGCAAATTTTTCAAGATGTTCCAGGGTTTTCTTTCCCACTTTCTTGAGTGAGGTGATACAAGCTTTCATATTCTGGCTGTGAGTCAAGCATTTCTTCATAGATTTTTTTCTATCAAGGGGGACCTTCATGACCAGAGTCCTGAAGATTGGCATACAAAAAACATCAATGCAACTCAGATGGTCAATCTACTAACACAACCTGTGTTTTGGTAAGATCACCATCTCTCTTTCAGTGTGAATTGAAGCTTCTTGCAAAAATCCAACAAAGTATGAATTTCTTCACTTGTATTAACTAGGAAAACTGTGATTTCCATCTTTCTGTCATTTTCCACAGAAGTTTCAATGATACACTTGAGTACCTTCCCAATTTCAATGAATAACTCAAAGACAAGACCTATTGTTGATATTAAGAGCATCAGACTTCATTGAAAGCAATCTGTCAAAATCCTGCCAGCCAACTGTCCTCCATGAATCAAGCAGACAAGTAATGAAGTGCCAGCAATTTCTGATTGATGTGTGGTTTCCTTTTGGTGAATGCGGGTACACTAACACAATGTCAGCAAAGAATGTCATTGTGACTTCATGGTATACCTTGTAACCTGCGTTTGTTGCCGATTTTGTTAGTTGATCATTCAGATTTGGACTCAAATGCCTGCTGTTAAACTTTATGTCTTTTCATAGTTGTAGAAACCATGGGTGTCCCCGTTTTTTTGTGGAGGTTTTCTTCTTCTGCTGGCTCAATCCCAATGGTTCTTGAATGTCATGCCAAATCCTTACATCTTGGTATTACGTACCATTTTCTGCCAACCGTTATTACTTAATCCTTAGATATTCTTGATGGTCTTCCATTGTGTTTAAACATGTACAATTGGATTTACAGAAGTGTTTTGTGGGAATTTAGCATTTTGGTAAAGGACAATAGATTGGCTTCAATGTTGGTATTCATCACATCTTTCATCAAATTGAAGGATTTGGTGCTGTCATCTGATCAAATATCCGCCGCAAAGTCTGAACAAATTAACATATTTGTTTGTTGTTTTTTGTCATAGCATATCAAAATTGTGCTTTTGTAAAAGCTGTTTACAAAAGCTGTTGCCTCTGAAGCTGTGAAGCACAGGGTTTGTGGTATCTGGATCAATGGCACATCTTTTTTGCTGCACTTTCATATTTCATTCAAGTTTATTTCAACTCTTTTTTTACAAAAGAACAATAGAAAATCGAAGAAGTAACCTTGATGTTTTATCAATAACCCAAAATTTCTTTCGCAACTTCATCAGAAACTCTTTCTTGTAATTGTAATTGATAAAGACTAGTCCAAGGATCATTAAAGTCAAATGAAGGATCTTGATTTAATTCTTCCGTAAGTTTTTCGACTGTTTTTGAATTTACCATAAAGTTTTTTGATGAAGGAGGATCTTGGGCCATTAATTTTGTAGCTATTGATGACCAGATAATTCCTGCTCCCATTGCCCAACCGTGACTGGAAAAGATAGGAAACAAGTGTGTTAGAAAGGGATTTTTATTGGGAAAGGACTGTTGAAAAAAACGATAACTTACCCGGATCCTAAGATACCACGATTTTTCAAATTGATTTGACCTACTCTGGCACGTTCCTGTCGGAAAAAATCGAACAAAAAAATCATTAGCCATGATGCAGTCGTGGGTTTTGAAGTGGCGTGATTTTTCAGCAAAAAGATACGCACAACTAAAAGACCAGTGCTCCAACGTTGATGTGGTTCGATTGCGTGTCGAGTACTACCTAAAGCAGAATAATCAGAAATCACATTGGGTCCCATAGCCAACTTGGCAGTAGCGACGATATAAGAAGCGGTATCTTGATCTCCAATTGTTTTTCCACGTAGTAATAAAGTTTGGGATCCACCAAGGGTGATGTCGAGAGGTAAAGCACCTTTTCCACCATTGGCAGTTGGAGCATCCTTATAAATTACAAAATCTTCCATTGTAACCCTTCGGCTTGAAATAGTAAAATAGGCAAATTCAATAAATCCAATAGATTGAACATTTTTAATCCAGCAGTCTTCAGCAGAACCAATCATGATAGGTAAAATGGTCTTGGTCCCAACAGGTAAATGTGAAGCAGAAGGAGTTTGATTGAAAATCAAATTTTCAATTCCAGTGAATCGAATTCGATCAGGAGGAGTAAAAGCAATAACAGTGGAATTATCGTCTGACATTTTTGAATCTATTGGGTCGGTTAAAGGTAAAGTCCAAGAAATTCGATTACCGTCAATTGAAGTGATTTCTCTTTCTTGCTGCACTGCTGTTCCTACTGATAACCAACTTTCGTGTTTGCCATCGCGAAATAAGTCGTCCATATTCATAGCCTTAAGCCATGTAGCTGTCACATTCCGGTTCAAGATAATACTTTGTCCCACCTTGAACCCAGTTGCATCATTTAATTCAGCATTGGTGGCTCCTAATGGTACATATGGATCACTTATGATACTCATTCCATCTGAAGGTGTTGGAGTTCCGGTTGACTTGGGGTCACCAAATTCAATCAAGTTTCGGGGTGAACCAGTGGCATGTAAGATTGTATTTGAAGGTACGCTAGGGTCACCACGCAGAACGACATTCGAAGGTAAGCGGATAGGAGAATCATTTGAAAGCCAATAATCACCGGCTGCAAGTTCAACTACGGCTCCACCAGGAATTTGAGATGCTTGATCAATAGCCGTTTGGATTTCTTCAGTTCGATCTGATTGGTCCTCCTTTGGTTGCAAGGTTATGAATACATTTTGAAGACTTGGTATAGGACTTGAACTAGAATTAAATCCAGCATAAGAATAATCAGGTAATAAATCACCTGGATTTGGAAATGATAAATATTGATTTAATTGATCTGCAGTCGTTGATGCTGTTATATGCATTGTAGGAGTACTTGAAGTTGAGTGTGAGGCTCTTCGGAGGTTCATGATTGGAAAAGAATCTATTGATAACATTAACGAGAATGAGATGGTATAATATAAGACCGATATCTCTCCAGCTCGATGCATTTTGAAAAAGTTCAAATTGAAATATATATAAAGGTGTGATTGCGATATGAGATTGAAAGGTGATGCAAGATTCTAGAAGCTTGAAGGATTAAGAAGGAAGGATGTGAGAACTGTTTCCCAGTGTTGTTGTTATAGTTTATAAATATAATAGCAAGAAAAGTCTTCAGGCTTTTCCTAGGAGGTTGAAGTTTCTGAAAAGGTACGATTCGACTTTTTCCTTTGAGAAGCCTGGTATAACAATTTTGAAAAGCTGAACGAAGAATCGGATAAACGAATTGGATGATAACTGAAGAAGGATTTCCACCTGGGAGTAAATGTATTAATCACAAAATAAAAATAACGAAAGCAAACCAGGCTTTGAAACAGTGTAAGATTGAGAAGTTAATCGATAATTCTTCTTACAAATCGAAAAGTAAAAAGACAACAAACGAAAGTAATAAAAGAAGGATGAAAAGTTAAATTTCAAAAGGCCAAGTTAAAAAGTTGAAAATGAAGAAGTTGTTTGATAATGCTGTTGAGAAAGTGAAGGTGTTAGATATACTTTTGCGATGATTAATTTTACCGTCACAAGGGTGATCATCGACATTAATCAGGTTTTCACTATTTCTTAAAAAAATAGTTTAGACTGACTGGAGAGCAATCCTTTAAAAAACTGATCTAGTTCATCTCACTCCTGCAATCCCTCGAAAGGGCAAACAACATCGGTTTATCAAAGTAGCAAAATTTCAAAGAATCATCACAGATTTCATCTCTTAGATCCTCCATAGTGCCATGAAAATTTCCTCATCTTTTCACCTAGCTCGGCGGAAAGGGACATGCTGCGGCACTCAGTTAACACCCAACCGCAGAGGCGTCGCCCGGATCCTGCGGTTGGACGACCGCATCCACCTGTAGAAATTTGCATTGAGAAACCTTGTTCGCATTTGCTCCCGGTAGGGAAAATCTTCCAATACATACATATGCAAGTCCAATCTCGTCCCTCGCACATTTGGGGTTTCATAGGGTTTCATCCATTTTTCTTACGATTTGTCATCCAGGTTTCCCCGAATTTGCCTGGTCTTGTTGTTTTCAGGGTCTGATACAGTACGGGTGTCTGTGAACTTTGAAGGGTAAGAAAGTGTGCACCAGGCTTGGAGGCTTGATGGGGGGTCTGTGGCTTGGCCCTGTGAAACATTTGAGCCACAATTGATTCATATGGGGTAAGAACAGGCAAGAATGCTCAGCAATACACTTTTTCTCCCGGAAAAAAAAGATTTGAAAACCCTTTATAAAGAATCTCTTTTTTGCAGCCGAAATTCCACTTCAGTCTCCAAAAACTTTTGAGATCTTTCCTCGCACAAGTCTCTGCTCAGAATCCACAGTCAACCGCACAATACCATCTTCATTTACCTCGTCAGCATGAATTTCTCCACTCGCCACTACGTTATGATTGCCTTCGCCGTTTTAAACCTGGTCAATCAAGGTTCCGCATACGACCCCTCGGAAGTGCCGTGCGCATGGGGCTTTAGTAGCACCGGACATTCCGGTAAGTACTACGTTTCTCGCAGGGATCATGAACCCAATCAAATTGTGATCGTGTCACATTGTGCTGACATGAACCTCTTGAACTGGAACAACTAGTTTGCAATGACGGCAAATATCAATACGTTTATGAAAATGCGCAATGCCACCGCCCTCGTAAGCAATTGTTCACTACATGAATTTCGTCGCTCTTTAACTAGCAACGAGCACAACTGACACCAGGTGAACTACACTAGACCCAAACCAACCTACTGTGGGCGTCGATTGTAAGGCCGGGAGCGACGGCCAGGTCCCCCCTCCGGGCGTCACGTGCGACTATTATTCGCTTAAATACTTCAAAGATTGGCATCGCATTTATATTGGTGAGTAGAGAAAATTTTGCAGATATTGGAAAGTGGATATACCGATGCTGACATTCCACCCATTGTTATACATACGACTTTGTATGACCAAGATTGTACTAACGTTTCTTCAGACCCCTCCCAGAGTTCAATAGATTATCATTGTGGAAGTATGGACAACATCCCACGTGAGTTGACTCCGGGTATTTCTCAACCAAAGTACAAACATGTCCTCAACTGACATCATCCAACTTGTAACCTTTCAGATTGTTACGGTGCCTACGTCTCCAGAGACCCGCTACCAAAGATAATTCCTTAGTAGAGACTATCGCAACTTCACAATTACAAGACCCCTGCTAAAATCACAAGAGTCTCGCTACCTTAGGTTTCTCGTTTTTCAATTGCGTCTTCTTTGTCCATAAGTCAATCTTCACCTAACCTCAGGATCTCATGTTAGAAGAACAGCTTGTTATCTTGTGTCTCTCGGTCTCCCTTTCCTTTCAGTTGTGCTCTCAATCCCAAATCGTAAAGTTAGGACGAAGTTCCCAATTTGTCCAATTGTTGAAATCTTCGACGTGCATTATCTTTGAACAACTTGAACAGAACTTGGAAAAAGTCCGGTGGCTGATGAAGTGGGTGCATTGAGATCAGGTGCACTTTTTGGTTCTACTCGAGCAAGGAGAGTTGCCGACTGATGTGATTGGAATGGGACTTCCAATCAGTCAAAGGCGTTATCAAGCGCAGATCAAATATGTTTAGCAAGAGATATCCCTAATGATATATATTACCTCACGGGTCTTGATGTTACACCGGCGAAACCCTAACTTAAGTGAGTCTCTCGTGCAGAGGTTTTTGCAAACAATTCCCGAGGCACGAGGGACTTGAGCGAAAGCAATGCATTTTGGCACGGAAGGTACTGAGATTTTTCCAATTACCATTTTTTTTAAAAGTGGTCAAGGAGAAGCACCCGCTTCTTCTCAACATAATGTTCTCTTTTTTTTGCCATTCCAGCGAGTAAGGCTTGAATTTAAATTGGGGGAATCGTCAATCAGGATCTGGACGTCGATCCAGTTTATTAATTGTTGAGGAAAATATGCTCTGAATATGTAGGCCAAGGAAGGCACGATGATCGCGATTTTCCAATGAATCGAGCCTCAAAAAATCACACAATTGGAAAACGCGCTACATACATCTTTGGAAGCATTGTGCAGAAACAACCATGTTTTATTGTCGGTTGTTGGTTCTATGCTACATGTTTTAGTTCCTTCAAAGTTTTATCCTGTTACTACCTTTGCTAAAAAGCTTGCCCGGTTCGATCGCAAACAAGAGACAAGAGAGGTCGAATTTGGCCGCAGCCTGCTGCGAGGCCGCTGCGCAACTCGTCAAGATCCCAAATTTGGCCGATCGCAAATTCTGAAAGAGATCGACTTCACCTGTGGATCTCTGACTTTGGGATATGTTGAGATCTATCATAAAGCACAAATATCTACCTCATCATGATGAATTCATGCTCACACTTCTATGCGACTTCTATCGCGCTGCGGGTGCTACAAAGATTTGCTTTAATCAAGACTACAGAAAGTGATCTTAGTCGAACGGCTTGATGTGGCGTGAGCCGCCAACGTTAGTGGTCTTGCCAGCATGGGATCAAGGCCAATTGCGTGAACTTTTTTGCTAAAATTTCGAAATTAATTCAAGGCATCTTGGACATGTGTCAGTATCCTATGGTGACCTCATTTGAGCTCTTGACTGAGCACGAAGAACAAAAGATTTTCAAAAAAAGGTGTTGTCCTTTTTGACTTGTACTTTTTTATCTCATGAAGCCAAAACAAAAAAGCACAAAAGTCCATAAAGGCTTGAACACACTACTACCGATTGAATTGAGAGCGTGATCACAACCACTACTTCAAACCATTGCACCAGGAGAACTCTGGAATAGGCGGTGATTTCCATTATGAATAGCGTCGAATTAGAGCTGCACTCGACTGTATGGTTGATCTTGACATACCAAGCTCCAGACATGCTGTGAATATAGTCATAATGTGTCTCAGAATTGGTTGAAGTCAGAGATCCACAGGTGCAGTCGATCTCTTAGAATTTGTGATCGGCCAAATTTGGGATCTTGACGAGTTGCGCAGCGGCCTCGCAGCAGGCTGCGGCCAAATTCGACCTCTCTTGTCTCTTGTTTGCGATCGAACCGGGCAAGCTTTTTAGCAAAGGTACAGTCAATCCAGTTTTGCTTGTCCATTCGTATTTTTTATTTTTTATTTTCACATCAATACAGGCCAATACAGGCCATTTTATAAGCATACATAGCCTTCAATCAAGATACCACAATTGAAGTGTAGAGGGTTGTTGATGATCGATGCTGCCAAGTCTCGACCCATCAGATTCAGGATTCAGCATCAATCCATCCTCTCCGAACTCATCCATGCATCACTTGAATCATCCAATCGCTTCTCTCTACCTCGTCACTATCCTTTGAGAATTGGGCTTATCACTTAGTCTTTCATTCCGCAATTCAACCCTTTCGGTCTCGACTGAAACATCTCGGCTTTGACTCAAGTAAGCTCCTTGAATATCTTACTCGTATTGAGATCAGTCATTGGATTGCTGAATATCTTCCTCATCCATCCAGCCAGGTCAATGTTTTGGTCCGTTCATCGGATATGTTCGAGCTCATCAACTCAAATCGTTATCAGTCCTTACCCTATCGCTAATTCAAGGTATGTTGTTCTTTGACTCAACTCTTGTTAACCAACTAAACACGCACTAATCGAAATGGTTCACTTCTCTCAAATCCCTTCTGTCTGTCAACTTAAGCTCTAGTCTTTGGTTCAGACATTTCAAAGTACTTTGAAGATCAATCAATCCACTAAATCCAATTCCGCGTCATCGATCAATCCTGTGTAAGTTGATTTGTGTTGATACTGTTAGTTCATAAGGTGTGACTTGTTTATTGCAAATCATCAGTAAAGCTACTTACCCTGGTTTCTCAACGCTTCACATCAATCTGCCTCAGTCTGTGGATCTTGTAGTTTTTTCTTGCTATGTGATTTTGTTGTTCCTATACTCAAGAAAGAATAAGTGTCTTATTTGTATATAGAAGTTTGTACCTGCCATCTAAATGGCCATTGTTAATAACATCAACAGTTTATATTCATCATTCTGAGTTCTTATGATTGATATACTTTCTGGACTCTTTCGGTTGCCTACGAGTACAATGTGTCTCATTAGATCCACAGTTTGATCTTAGAGTGTATGAAACTCCTGCAACGGTATATAGAAGCACTGTTTTTATGAACTGTCTTGTTTCCTCGTGCCATCTAACCTGAGCTCATACTTGGTGCTAGTAGTCACTGGCTTCCTTGCAGACTTCCGGTCTAAGAACTGTTGGTACTCAGCCTATCTGTGACCACTATCATTGCACATGATCTCCTCACCTTGAGACATGCTGGCAATGCATTTGAAAAGTAATTGAAGCATCACAGGAAGAGACTGTAATTCAAAGAGTCTTTTATTACAACAGCAAACTGAGGCAAGATGAAATACAAGCAGAATACACATTAAGGCTTTGGATTTGATCTGATGCGACAGATTCCCAAAGCTAAGAATGCTATATAAAAATGGAACGATCGAGTTGACCAAAAAAACATCCAGAGCTCAACAATTGGATGTGACGTTTACGAATTGGAGCTGAAGCCTAAAGGAAGGATTTAAAAATGAGACTAAGATCTAAAGACAATACTTCACTAAACATAAGCTTGAGTAGATTAAACCGACATTGGGGTGATCAAGTGATGGCAACAATTCACCTTCTTTTTTGATATTGTGTGGGTAGCAATCGAGACTTTTTATCTTCAATCCTTTATCATCATTCGCTTGAGAAGGAATTGTGAGTGTTTTGGAAGTAGCTGATAAAGGTGCTTTGAACAATCCACTCGAATCTAATGAACTTCAACTGAAAATATAATTCAAAGGAAGATCAGTATTGTGTTCAAGCTAGTTTTTGATTGAGTGAGTGAACTTTACATAATCAAATCAAAGACACCAAGGGTTGAGTTGAAGACGGGAAGGTTTGAACCGAAGCTGAGAGGTCTGAATCGAAACAAAGAGCCTGAAATCAAAGCCTAGAAGACTGGGTCAGCACTCACCTTACGGTTCTTTGGCTGAGAGGATGAATGATGAAAGATAGGATTGAGCTGGAACGATGTGTGTGAGGACAAAGGGATGGTGATGAGGACAGGTTTGTAATAATCAAGCACTGTGGACTATGGTCAGCTGTGGTTGGTCAGACTCACAACTCCAGCATAAGCATATGACTCATATCTTTATGCTTATAGAATCACCTGTATTGCAGTGAAAAATAAATAAATAAAATCCGATTGGACAAGCAAAATTGGATTGACTGTAGTAGTCCTGTGACCATGAAGTTAGAGTGAGATCAGTTCTATCCAGTTTTACTGAATTGGTTATAGCTTCAAATGACATATCTTCTTTAGCTTTATGAAACAAAGTCTTCTTTAGCTTTATGAAACAAAGCTGCTTACGATATGGGCAGGCATCAATGTCATGTTTTCACGGTTTCTGGTCTTTCCGCTACTTTCTTTCTCTCCAAAATCACGACCAACAGGCGCTCCAGATCAGGCATCAAGCGGCTAGACCGTGAATCTATCCAATATGAAGACGATGGTTTTGATGTTTACTTGGCCTATCTTACTCTCAGCCATGGGCGTTTGGGATTTATCTAACCCGATAGGTCATCGGGTTGCAACCACGGAGAGCCATGCAGGAAGGCCATGGTCTGACTTGACCGAACTTCACGATTCGGCGCTCCATCAACAGGAAATCTCTCGACCGGAAACAACACACCCATCGTTTGACCCGCCCAGAACGGACACTGTATCCACCGACAATATTCGCACTACGTCCGCTGGCCAGATCACACCAACTGAAACTTTTCATACCGATGCATATAGCGAGAGTGTCAGTGGACAACTTGAATTTGTTTTCTCGGCTATCAAGTCGAAATTAATCCTTGGCTATTTTGTTTGTTCAACAACTCCACTGCTACGAAGTCTAGTCTCCTGGGAATACAGATCTCTTCAATACGCACGACAGACTAGTCCTAGATCGTCCGAGCGGATTCGCGAGTCAGGAACATCGTCCAATACATGCGGAGGCAGGCGAAGAAACCCAGTCGGATGCATTGCATTCAGGTTTACATATAGAACCTCCCAATTGGCTTGACTCTCAAAACCTTGGAGAAGGGACATGGGAACGCCTTGAAGACCCGTTTGCAAGTCCAGGATACTACACCGAATTAACGCACGTATTAAGCCAGCTTTGGGGTGACTCGGAAGTTCACAATGAGCACCCTCATGACCCTTGGTCAAAGCAATCTTCCCACTTGTGAGTGTTTTGGACCAAAATTTATCAGGCATGCCAGTCATTTTCTGATCCTCCGCTCGTCAATAGCGGCTCGCAAGATTCCTCGAGTACATCCGAACCGCTGCTTCAGGCTTCATCACCGGCTAGTCTGTCGCACGAAGAATCCCAAAAGCACGTACAAGTGTCAATGTTTGAAACAGGATTACTCAAGCGCCCAGTTCACCCTCATGAACTTGATCATGAACTTGATCATGAACTTCGCATGACAAAACCTCATGTTAATCCTACGCCATTTGATCTGAATATAGCTAATAATCCAGATGATATCGAAAATCATCAGTCAAGACCAGCCATTGAAAAATATTACGGAGATAGTTGGCCTCAACAGAAATTCAAAAAGAAACCATTGGGCAAGAACTTTGAAATAAAAATTGAGCATAAATTGGTACCAAATTCAAATCATGAATCGGTTTCACCTAGAGAATTGATTAATACATACCAAACTGCAATTCGACAATTTTTAAACTCATTTTCAAAAGATCGTATCAATAAGCTTCATCTACCATATCTCAAAGAAAATATGAAGAAAGTATTAGATAACTTCTTAGACATCTTAACCATCTGTTCTGAAGTTGTGTCGTCGGATGGTGTACCTACAAACATGGAAGAAGATGCTCGTGATGGCTACCATTGGTTGATGGAAGAATTAAAAGACCTTCCACAAACTCAATTCGACTATTTAAGAGTACGTGGAAGCAAGCGTCCAGCTGGAGTAGCAAGTGGCGGGGCCTTCAAGAATAGTTTTGATAGTCTTTCTGTATATGCTGGTACAATATATTGGTTGACTCACAAGAAATATAGCACCAGACGCGAAAGAGTGGCGGCTAAGTACGTATTGGATTTCATACATCAAAAACGAGATCAATGGATCCATCATCTAACTCCTTATAGTACTAGAAAAAAACATTTGTCAGTCGTAAATTTATTAGTCTCAGCCAAAAGAGTCAGACCGTTGAAATATCCAAGTCTAAAACGATACTCTAAGAAGCGAGCTCATTAATCTGAGAGAAGGGTCGATGGGTTTTATGTACAGTCTCGATATTAATGTCACTGCAGAAGACCAGTTGTTTTTCAATCCCAACAAGAATAATAAGCATGAGTTATGTATGATGATTAGTTCTTTAATACTTTAAAAATCTCTTGTAATGCAACTTGAATTGTTTGACTTGAAGCTGAAGTCAAGCGCTCAAAGGCAACAACACTTTGGAATCCTCCTGTCGAGGTGTCGAGAATGCACAGGTTCAAAGGCCAAAGCTTTTGAACTCTGAGTGTCCAACTCATTATCCCAAACAAACAACATCCCATTACCTCCTTGAAGTTATGGATCGGATCAAGTTTGCTGATTGCTTTCGAGATATATATCAGACTATGGTAATCTTCTCACCAATTAAGAATAATCAAGATTGCTCGGCATCTAGCTGAGCCACAGAAAGGCGCGCCCGACGTGTCTACTCAATCTGTAAGTAGGCATGGTTGATTTTACAAGGAGCGCGCATAGATGTGCCCTCATCTTCGAAACCGTTTGCCTTCGATTTCAACCTCATCACTCGTTAAGACTCTCGAGCATACCACTTGACCAACTAGAACTGAACTTTACGTATTTACCATGAGAGTTACTAAACCGTCCACCGGTTCATCCACGTCCCGGTTTGCTACGATGCCCGAAGTCTTACGCCTCAAGATCTCGGCTCCGGAAAACTTGAAAAACAACGATACAAAGTCTCCACGTCTGGAAGATGAAGCCAATTGTCCAACCATGTTTTACGCCTGACAAATTTCCATCTTGTCTTGATGAAACGATCCAAGGACGATCTTCATCTGATGGAAATGGTAGTACCCGATCGGAATATGTTTGCGATTTTTATGATTCGATGCCACCTACTCATCCCAACATCGATACGAGCCTCGAGATTCGAAATGCTACAGATGCCGAATACTAAGGTCGATTCGATCGAGGTTGAAAAGCCTTCAAGTGCCGTGGACATTCGGCAAGCATATAAAAAAGCTTCTAATGTCATGAATCTTCCGACGAAGCCGATTGGGAATCATCCTCGCCAACCTTCTATTATGGATTCTCTTCAATTACGTAGCAACAATTTGCGTTCATCTTGAGTTAACGTCGAACGATCCTTCCCAAACTTCGGCAGGAAGTCGATTGAACGACGGCCGATGTTTATTCTTTAGTCCTCGCGGCCACTTGATGAAACATTGGACGATATGCTAATTGGAGGCACGACATAATTATATAGCAGCGCGAAGGTCAGAACTTGTCAAAGGCGACGCCAGGGCTAAGGAGACCCTTCCTAGGTGTAAGGCACGGAGGTGAGGAGATGAGGGAAAAGTGAATTACCAAGTAGGTAGTCAGTGTTTGTAAACTTCATTTTTTGTCTCGTGAGATTTCAATTCCTTGGATTTATAATGAAAGTCATACCTCTCTAAAGTTATTTTTACATTTCTTATCACTCCTCTTATCTCTCTTCCTTCAATCATGTTTCTTCTGTTCGATCTTCCGGGGGGGAAAAAACTCGACAACTTTATGGGTTCGTTTGTAGGGATCTTGTTTTTCCTGGACATTGAAAAAGATTGACAAAATCTAAATCATTATAAAATGGAAAGAGAGAAAGAAATGTAACTTAATCATTTTTTAAATAATTCTTATTCTTTTTTTCCACGTTTTTTGATCGATTGATTTTTCTCTGTTTTGAAAAAGTGGAGAGGACAACCTTTGATTGAAATTGATTGAAATCATCATGAGGCTATGATTAAAAATACATCTTGCTGTGTTTCCAGTTTCCAAATCCTACAAAGACTTCTTTTGCTTTGTTTTGAATCTCTTTTTCATTTTACCAACTTGTTCTGGCTTTTGATATCTGATACTGATTCGTGATTTGTTTTCCTGTTGATGCATCATGTTCATGATGGCACCTGAAGATGATGCATCATGTTCATGATGGCACCTGAAGATGATAGAGCTTATTTTTTTCATCGATTGGCTACTGTCGAAATGATAGGAATTGATCTCAGTAACGCGTCCGTTTCCCTTGTATATGGGATACTGATGAATGCAATAATCAAACTACCATTAGACTCGTGTCGTAGTTAGGAAAAAGATTATTAAAAGGAAGATTAGGATTTCGACACAGCACAAGTTTATCCAATATTCAAATCAAAAGAAGAAGTTCAATTGCGCACAATTTGAGGATCTTATCCTTCCAATTGTTCATGCTATAGTGCTTGGCCTGCGTCAGAATTTCCTTCTCGCTCCTCCTCTGCACGAAAATATCTTGTGCGCGTCTCTCAATCCATCCTGTGGTGAGTCGTACTTGCCCAAAAGTCAGGTGCGTCAATGTAGGACCCTTTGATCAAGCGATATGTAAATCAGATTCATGATCGTCAATTCTTATACAAGACGCTTAGGATCTGTTCGCGATTATCATTCGTAATTCGATGCCACCTGATCTCCCGAAGATTAGCAAGGGCTTTGAGGACCAAAAGTGCGGGGACTATAACGACGTCCAGTGAAGTTCAGCACGCCTTGAGTACGGCGCAAGCTTTGGATTTAAAAAAAAGAGGCGCTGGCTAAAGCTTCCTCCATCCTGGATGATAACATCAACAACGAGAAGGTCGGCATTTTTGATCTCCTATATATGAATAAGGACACAGTTGGATAACAAAGATGATATTTCCGAACGGCAATGATTGTGATGGTTTTAGGCTCAGTTATCTAAATTCAAAACGCAGCAATAAGCTTGGGAGCCAGTTAATTTGTAAGCAAATACAAGTCTCTCAGCAGTAATGATCAAATGGCTTTTCAACTTGGTATAAAAAAGTGGTCAATGACAAGGTGGGACTGAAACATTATTAAGAGTGTCATTATGAAATTGAAGATAAGCACCAAATTACTTTATCTCTACTTGTGAAGGAACCATCAAAAAACAAAAGGGTTTGGCCTTGGAACAAATGTGTACAAGGTTATGCGGAACAAAGAAAAGAAAAGCTTTATGTGTCTCTAGTTTCCAAAATTCTGACTGTTGCCATTAGAGTTTGAGTTTGATTGATCAAATCCAAAGTTATTACCGTTATTGCCATTGTTGCCATTATTGCCGTTGTTTCCTCGATTGCTCTGGAGATTTTGCCCATTTGATTGAGAGATGTCTGACCCAAGGTTGTTATTACCAACATTACCGTTGTTCTGGAAATTAGAATTGGTCTGACCGTTTTGAGAGTTTTGATTGCCATTTCCATTCAAGTTAACACTCCTTTGAACCCCAACTTCACCATTATTGTTACCATTACCACCATTTTGACTCTTGTAAGTTTGATAAGCAGCTTCAATGGCTCTTGCAACTGTTTCTGGATCACCACTTGATGAACTACTTGCAACAGCTTGACCAAGAACTCGAACAAGTTCACTTTGTTCATTAGGTCCGGATGTTGAATTCTTTTCTTTATGATAAATTTCTTTGTAAGCTTTTGCAATTGTTTTTAATGAGGCTGGTTTGTTTTGATCTTCTGTTGCTTCATTTTCTACTGCTGTGTTGGCGTTATTTGGGGTGTTCAAGTTATTGTTTCTGAGTGGTAATTGATTGTTGTTATTTGCTTGGTTGTTTTGAGGAATCTGACGACGGGAAATGTCTTGACTAAAGGTTTGGATGGTAGGTTTGTCAGCATACTTGTTTAGACTTAGATCAATGAATGAAACTAACCTGTAGCTAGGGTCAGAAGATAAGTCACGCATGCCGCGGGAATTGAGTGACATTGCGCTGGTGTAAGCGGTGAAGACAGCAAGGTGGAATATTGGGGAGGTGAAATGCATCTTTGATATATTTGCTTGGAGTCGAATGAAAACAAGTTACTTCAGGTGGAAAGATCTATCGAGGAACCGTAGAGAGTTGAGTGGTAATGTAAGGTGGATGACCAGATCCTTGTGATTAGTTGAATAAATATGTAGGAAATACGCTACAGACTAGCTGAGCGAAGACTAATGAGAGTTGTTGGTTAAGGTGGATCTTAAGATGAATATCAAATGCTGAGAGCTCAAGACGAAGTCAATTTATATCTCAAGAATTGTGAGCTCGAGTTGAGTATCCTTCTGTCTGTACGCGACAAAATGCCTTTGCAAGGCTCGGATGAGTTATTTCTCTGAGGATGACTACTGGTCCGAACCAGATCATTGTGGCAGCTTGATACCATGCTTTGAGCCAACTTAGCTTTGAACAAGTCGCGTAGCAAGGCATTTGTTGATGTTTGTCCGTGATGAGCGTACGAGTCCTTACGAGTCAGTACCCAGTTATACTCAACGATAGGTGTCCAATGTTCAAGATTTTCTCTCAGTGCAAGGCAATCTGGTCCAAGGTTTCTCTTGAGTTGCTTGGCAGCCTCAAAAATGCTCTTTCAAGTCGATCAATCCGGCATTCCAAGAGCTAGATTTATGACGCGGTGAAATCTGTCTCTCTACGACATTGCCTGTAACACGCCTCTAATCTTTGCTCACACCAGTCAAAATGTATTACCTCAGATGTCTTGATTGTTATTTCTGATAGAGATTTACTCTAGTCTATTCAAGGATCTGAAATTCCAATGGAGTAATTTGAACCCATTTTGAACCCATGCTCATTATCGGCAGGATTTCAATTATGTAGGTCAAGCCTGCGATCTGGGTCAGGAGCCCCAGACTTACTAGGGCTAAAGATCAACATGAGAATATCTTCAAAATGAGACTGATATCAACAGCGCCGGATTCGAGTTCCATGTAGAAAATCTTGCAAGGAGACATTCGAGAACCTGTTGTGCAAAATCACCAAAAGTTGTAAGTTTTGGACTCTCCTGTTTTGGACTCGTGCCAAACTTTTTTAGGGTTGCAATTACTTGCCGAGGTTCCTCAAGCCTGCTGCTTATGTAACCGAATCGTCCCGATCACTTCAGCATTTCTCCATCACCCTTGACTCAAAAGAATGCCATCCAACGCATCATGGCTCAAATCACTCACCACCACTGCTGCACACCTTCGACCAACAACGAACTTACAATCTCTGACAAAGCATCGCATTCGAAGTTCAAGCTCAATCGCTCAATCTAGCGGAGGTTTTGATCGTGTCATATTCTCTGGAATTCAACCCACAGGTGTACCTCATGTAAGTGCTGCACATCGACTCGGAATCAAAAACCAGAAGACATTCAGCTGAGAAGAATGGTTTGATTTAGATCGGTAATTATATTGGAGCATTAAAGAATTGGGTAAAGATTCAAGATGAGAATAAAAAACAAGTCGAATCAAGAAAGAAATCGAAATTATACTATTCAATCGTAGGATTACATGCATTAACTTTACCACAATTACCTGAAAGATTAAGACAAGAAAGATTTGAAATGATGTGTACTCTTTTAGCTATTGGATTAAATCCAAATCAATCATGTTTATTTAATCAAGATGAGGTCAGTCATCTTGATTGAGAAAACCTTTGATTTTTTTTTCTCTGAATCCTTCAATTAATCAGATTGTTTTTTAGCTTTTTTTAGGTACCTGCTCATTGTGAACTTACATGGATACTAAATTGTATCACTCCAGTTGGAAAGTTAAATCGAATGACAACTTGGAAGGTAAGTAAGAAGTCACTCTAACTAAAGTATCTTGATCTCATTGACATCCAATCGCTCTCTCATCTAGTCACGCTTGGCAACAGTCAGGAATTCGAATTCACTTGATGAAGTAGACGAGTCACTTCTACACCTCGGTTTACTTGCATATCCTGTTCTACAATCGGCCGATATCCTTCTATACAAATCTACTCATGTACCAGTTGGACAAGATCAAGAACAACACATAGAACTAACTCGAACCATTGCGAAATCATTAAACAAGCATCTTCGAGCTAAAATCTTTCCTATACCACGTCCTATGTTCGGTTGAGTAATCCTTTGATCATCAATATCATAAACCAGATTTCTTTTTGTTCTGACAATGTTTAATTTGTTTTCTTTAGCTCCTCAAGCTCGTATTTTAAGTCTTCGAAATCCAGAAATGAAAATGTCAAAATCACATCCAAGTCCAACAAGTCAAATCTTAATCACAGATACACCAGACATGATCAAATCTAAAATCCAATCAGCAGTAACCGATTCGATCAGTCAAATCAATTATGATCCAATCAAGCGACCAGGTGTTAGTAATCTATTAGATATCTATGCTGGACTTTCTGATTTATCTATCCTAGAAGTTATGAAACGATTTGAAGGGAAAATGGCAGGAGATTTGAAGATCGAATTAACAGATTTACTTGTTGATCATCTTACACCTATCAGAATCGAATTCGAAAGACTTAAACAAGATCGTGAGGAAGTTGAAAAGGTTTTTAAGGTTGGGGCTTTACAGGCTACAGCAATTGCTAATCAAACGCTTCAAGAAGTCAAAAAGGGGCTTGGTTTATTGTGATTATATGCCTCATAGAATAGATTTTAGTATTGATCATTGGATCTGGTCACCTAATAGCTCTTTACCTTCAGTACAATATACAATGAAATATACTAAGCTGATCGAGAGCTTTAACAATAATGGGTAGAATGAGAACATCTACATTTAATATCACTTTACTTGTATGCACACCCTCGAGTATGGGTCTAAAAAACCCTTCAAAGATGATTAAATTAGAAGATGAGAAAACTTGATATCATTATCTTTAGATATGCTTATGGTTAGCAAACCTTTCATTGAGCAAACAGGCTATAACAATATGGTCTTGTAATTGATTTCACTATGACAGAAAACTTGAATTATTTTTTTTCAAAGCCAGCTGAAAATTAATGTGTATACACCGCCAAAGACCAAGTGGTAAGCACACATTTTGTGAATTTGCCCATGTTTGGTTGCGGGAGCAACACATGAGGCAGTACACTTATGGGACTTGAGTCAAGTTGATCTCAATGGATCCTAATTCAAAAAATCCCAACCACAATTGTTTTGTTCTAAAAGAAATTCCCAAAAGGTTAATGCTTTATGCCATGACTTGTGCACAATCTTAGAATCCATATCAAGCTTCTCAAGCAAGACTGGTGTTGATCCAACATCTCTAGCTAATCAGTCAATCAATTTAAGTGAAAACAGAGCACTGGGTGTAAAGTTGAAAGAATTTCATTATTGCAGAAAATCCTTCAAGTCCAGTAATCTATTGACCAAATCAATTGTAGCTAGATCAATGATAAAACAAAGGTTGAAGTGTTTTCAAGTTTTTGGAAAAATTAAAATGAAAAGGGTTTCTCATTTGGAATCCTTACCCAAGGTTCACCTTGTTTTTTTTTTGTATCTTGAAAAATAGGTTGGAATGTCATTTTGTGAAGTTTGGTGACATTCTTGGTAAAACTTGTTTATATAAGATGGATTCTATCAATATTAAGCAACCAACAATCACTGTTCTTATTGAGATTTACTACTCTACGCAGGTGTATGCTGTCCCATCATGAGGCCATTCCTGATTTGGTTTGGCTGGTATCACCAACTCTGTGCCATAAACCCTACAATCAGCAAGCTGAATCTAACAGGCCAAACTACAGAACACAGTGCAAGATGAATCATACATCAATTCCACCCACCTTGTAGAATCCAATTCCAGCTTCATTCATCAAAGCTCGTCTCATATCAGAAAACTTCTATTACACAAAACCACACATTCTAGGTAATCAACCATTATCTAATCATTCCTGAATCCTCATGGTAGAGTCACTCATGTTATATAAACATAAAGAGACACAAGGTTTACATAGCCACATAAATTCATATAAACCTCTTATATATTGTTGTTTACTTTCAAGTTTTTCAAAACCAAAATGCTTCATTGATCATGACACAAAAAACATCCCATTCACTCACAAACCATAAAAAAAACTTTGTATGACGAATCCAAGAAACAAATCATGCATATCTTTTTTTTCTAACCTCAAAACCTCAAAACAAAAAGACATTTTGACTTTTTTTCATTAACGACCTCTATTAGGTTTATTCCCAGCACCACCACCAGCACCACCACCACCATAAGAAGGAGGTAAAGAAGAATACTGATGATTATTAGATCTAACCACAGCTGGAATGATAGGTTGAGTTCTATACCCATTTGTCATTCCCATTCCACCTCGTCCAGGAAGAGAAGGAGGTGGATTGGGTCGATTGGGTAATCCAACACCTGTACCACCATAACCTGATCCACCATAAGAGGTAGGTGTAGTACCGGCAAAAGTAGGTGCAGAGTATAATCTTGGTGGTTGGCTTATATATGGTCCAGTTGGTTGTTGGTGATGATTCCCTCGATTTGGATTCATATGTCCATTTCCTCTATTCGAGTTCATATGTGAATTTCCTCTGTTGGTATTCATATGTCCATTCCCTCTATTTGAGTTCATTTGTCCATTCCCTCCTCCTCCTCCTCCATAACCTCCATAATCATATTGACCTTGATGTACAGGAGCAGATGGATAAGTATGAGGAGCACCACGTGACGAATAATTCCCACGATGCGGACCACTAGATTGTCCTTGAGGGTTTCGATGATAACTGTATTGAGGGTTTTGACCACTAGCATTATAATGATATGAATTCTGATTTTGATTCTGATTTTGATGTACAAAACCAGTTGCAATTCCTGGACCTCCACCATAATCACGTCTTTCCTTCTCCATATCCTCCTCCTCCACCACCACCACCACCACCACCAGAATGAAAGTTTCCACCTCTTCTAGTCACCTCTCGATCATGATTATTTAAGATCCGTTTCTCAACTTTAACTCCATTTAGTAATACACTTCGATGAGGAACAAATTGTTCAGGGAAGATGTATCTGGCGAAGATAGATTTATCATTGGATATATCAGGTAAACCCACCTCTGGTAATGGTGAATGAAAAGTTGATCCTGGAATGCAATTCGAATCCGGCAAAGCTGATCCAAACACACCATTTGCTGTACTTGGGTCTAATTTCATAGGCTAAAATTCCTTCCCCAGTCAGTTCAATGAAGAAAAAATAAACCACAAAGAAATTGATTGAATATTAATAAAATCACTTACTTCAGTCATTGTCCTTTTACGATACATATTACAATATTGATCATATTGAGGATGTCCCTCACTACAAAACACTACCGGTTCTCCCATTTTGTTTCTAGCTTGATCCGATTCCGTCAATAAATCTTCATAAAGTTTCATACTACCTAACAAACGATCTTGTTCAATAAAAGGTAACAAAGCAATTCCTTGCCATAACATTTTCTTTCCATTCATATCAATTTCAAATTCCTCTGGATAAAAATCTTTAATAGGTGAATCAACCGATGTCATCAAATCATGATAAGCTGTAGGAATATGTGATCTAGATGCGGCTGGAAAGACTCCCATAAGTTGTTCATAAGGCTTGAAAGGTTGTCCGAGTTTAAATTCTACTTTCATATCCTTAAGATTGGTAAAATCGGCAGCAAATGGTGAATAATGGTAAGGGTAATACCATTGCCAAGACTGACAACCTTGGTAGTAATAGGCAAGGACCCATGCAAGACCTTCTACGTAACACTGTACAATTCTTGAAGAAAAAGGCGCATATATCAAGTTTATATGAGCAAAGGTAATTGAATTTGAAGGGGTGGTCTAAACCACTTACTTTCGTCTTTCAACCTCATCAGACAATTCGATTCCAAATTTCTGTCGATAATATCGTTCACGATAACCGGGTTCCCATAACCTAGTGTCGTCAAATCATCAGTGAATGCTCAAAACGGTGTTGATCGAAGGAATTTGTTAGATAAGAGTCTCACTTGACCGTATCATCTTGTTCCACCATATTGTTACCGAGCATTTTCAGTGTCGGAGGCTTACTAGGACCACTAGGTAGCGCAACTGAAATGTTCCCCGCATCATCATCATCGTCCTCCGAAAGAACAACTTCTTCAGGTATGATACCTGATATTAAAACGGAATCCTCGTCTTCCAGACTATCTGCTTTTCGCTTGGAACGATGTACAGGTGATGTTAAATCCGCGTCCGTCGGTGCAGCTTCGGGGTCCATAGGATTCTGTTCAGCGTTTTGGATCAAGTCCTCATCGATATCTACGTCAGCATCAGGATCTTCTTCAGCATACGCGTTCTCGGTCAACAGCATTAGTTTCAGGCATTACAGTGTGAGAATCGAGGCTACAGTCTTCGAAACGTCTAATTGACCGGTCAATTGAGCTTTTAACATTACATCTGCATCGAGGTTGGCAGCTCTGATCGCAAATCGATTTTTGACCACATCA